CAGGAAGGGACGTTATCCTGTAAATAGAATATTTTAAAGAGTTTATTCAGAGTTTTCACGTCTTAGAAAGGGAGACATGCCAGTAATGTAGGGCAAACGTTTTAAACACTTGATTACATTTTCTTTAATATGAATAATACATTAGAGATAATTTACTGGTCAATAAGAACTGAGCAAAGTATTGATTCCCACAATCATTAAACTGTTTCTAACTAAGAAAACTTTGTTGTGTTAAAAGAAATGCATTCTGCAAGTTATGAGATAGTAAAACATAAACGGATATAATACCCTCCTTTCTTCTGGTCTAACAGCATTGAGACAGAGCCAAGCAAGACTCCTCAGCACCCAGCTGAAGCCAGGAGCCAGTATTTGCCCCTAGGAAAGCCCAGTCTCCACTGGTAGCTCATCTCACTGAGGTTTCTCCTTCCTGGAATGGTAGTCCTCACGGCTTGTATAGATCCCTAAAGGACTGATTTAAAAATACATTAGACACAAAGACAGATTTAATGAAATGAAAGAGAGAACATCAGAAAATACAAGTACTGAACCAAAGAAACCAAAATAATGAAAAAGAAAGAGCAAAAGAGGTGTGGAACAAAGCAAAAAAGTTCACTACATACAATTTAAATTCAATATGGAGAAGAGATAAAATGTGAGGTAGAAGCAGTATTTCAACAGAAAAGAGCTGATGGGAAAAAAAAAAATCAGCCCAAGGATTCAAGAAATTCTGCAAGGAACAGACAAGGGAAATACACAGCACATCACACCTGGCTGCATCCTAACAGGACAAGTGAAAACCTAAAGCAGAAAGAAGCATACAAAAAGTGGTCAGAGGAGAAAAATCGGCATCTTATATTACTATCTTCAAAGCAACAATCCTGAGTGGGAAAGCTGGCTTCTGAATGGAAATGATGAAAAGCAGAAGACAAAGGAAGGGTATTTTTAAAGGGCTGAAAACAACATCAACAAGAAATTCTACTTCAAAACCTCCCCCCAAATTTCTTCAAATATAAAGTCAAAAACAAAAGGCTCATTCACATGAATAAAAAATGAACCGTATTTATCACTGTACCCAGAGAAATTTTAATCACCTTTCTAGTAGGAAAAACATCTGTGAGAGAAATAGGGAAATACACTATGAAATAAAAAGTAACACAGAATGTGAATATATAAATAAGCACAAAATAAATATTGACTCCATTGAAATTGTATAATAGTGCAGAGTTACAATTTGGGAGAACAATAATAACAAAGATAATAATAAGGTAGATAAAATTCAAGTGAACTAAGGCTCTAACATTATACATAATAAGATAAAATATAATTATTCTGTTGAAATGTTGTAAGTTCAATTTCTCCATGTTATAATCTCTAGGCATCGCTCCTAAAATTATTTAAGAATAAGAAATTACAGGTTAATTGACAGAAAGTAAAATGATAAAGAAGGGTTAATTCAAAGTAACAAAAAGAAAAGAATGTTCAATACAAAATGACTTCATAAAACAAATCCTAGTGTCATAGCAGCTATAAATTGAAGTATAGAAGTAATTATGCAAAATATAAATGAATAAATATTCAAGTAAAAGACTAAAATGATCAGAGTAGCTAAAATACCAAATTCTTGTATTTGCTTCATACAAGAGACACATGAAAGGAAAGTTGGAAATGAAATAAAGAAACAAATTATACTTTACCAAATTATACTATACTAAACTCTAATCTAAAGAAGACTGGCGGAGATATGCTGATATTTGACATAATAGATTTTAGTGTTAGAATATCATACCATATGAACAGAGACAGTATATAATTCAATTCATCAGAAATGCTGCACAATTTTAAATATGGATACATACAACAGCCTATCTTCCAATACTTTTTTAATTGACAGAGTTGAAGTTGATATAGAGAAATCCACAGTCATTTAAATATGCTTTAAAATAACACATGGGCCAAAGAATACATCACAATGAAAACTAGAAAACACTGTTACATGAATGAAGATTTCATTAATGAAGGAAAAAAAAATATCAATCCTTGTCAAGTGTGCTTAAAGCAGCGCTTAAAGGTGAATTTATTGATTTAAGGGTATGCATTTGTATTAGCTTGGACCACCATTACAAATCACCATAGATTGGTGACTTAAACAGCGGGAATTTATGGCTCACAGTTCTCCAGGCTGGGAAGTCCAAGATCAAGATGTTGCGTCCCCTGGGAGAGCTCTCCTCCTGACTTGGGCATGGCTGCCTGTTTTTGCTGATTGCTAACCTGATGCAGAGAAAGAGAAAGCAAGCTCTCCAGTGTCTCTTATTAGGGCATGTAATCCCATCATGAGTGATGTGCCTTTGTGATCTCACCTAAATCTCATTACCTCCAAAGATGCCATTCCAAATACGATAATTTGGGCCTAGGGATTCAACATAAGAATGTTGGGGACAGACAATTACTCGTAGCAATGTTAAAATAGAGGAAATTCTAAAACTTAGTGAAACAGGCTTCTATTGTGTGACACCAGAAAAAGCACAGCAAGTCAAGGTCAGCATTTAGAAGGAAGGGAGTAATTAATACATAGTAAACAGTAAAAATCAGTAGAATAGGAAAACAGAATAAAGAATATTTTTAAAAGATAAACTTAGTTTATTTTAAAAGTTGATAAAATAAGGCAAGAGAGACTGATTAGGAGATAAAAACAGAAAATTAGAGTTACATAAGCATGTAAAAGGAATCATGACGAATAGGTACATTGCTAACAAAAATAAGTTAATTATGCAAAATTTTATGGTGATAAATTTGGCATTTTAGATGAAATGGTTGGACAGATTCCTAGAAAAATAGAATTTAACAGTGATATAAAAAGAAAAACAAAAAACTGTCTATTCCCATACTTATTAAATAAAAGTTTTTTGAGGAAAATCCCTGACTCAAAAGGATTTACTGGTTTAAACTTCAAGATATCCTAAGTATTATTCTAGATATTTTTCTAAGGACAAATATTTGCTTGGCCTCTGGACACAGAAAGATACTGAAAAGAGACAAAGGGACACTGAAGAAAGAGGCAGATCACTCCAGATTGGTAGATGGCAGTTTTAAGAAGTAAGAGAACTTACAAAGGAGGTTTTTCTTGGGCAGCCACAAGACAAGCAGATCTCTGCACCCACCCACCAGAATCTTAAATGTTTAAATAAAGGCCTTAACTAGGTTCAGTCACATAAACAGTCCAGATGGTCTTAAGAACACACTACTTTCTCAAGGCTACATCTGTGGAATGGCTCTGGCTACAGCAATGGTGGGTGGACAGTTCATTCCAAGGATGGGGGTTGGGGTGAAGAAGCTCTGATTGTCTTGGTCCTGCTCACAAATCATCCGGTAGTCACATCCTCTCCATAATCTCCTCTGAGAACAAATTATCAGTTTTCTATTTTCTGTATTCCAGGAGACAAGCAACAAAAAAAGAAACACATCTTATTTCACTCTATGAAACTATGAAAACCTTGATACCAAAACCTGAAATGTACCTTAAGAATGAAACTTTACCAAAAAAAAGTATCTAATAAAGGCAGATGAAAAAAATTTTAAACAAAATATTAATAAATAATAAAATCTACAAGTGGGCTTATTCCAGGAATGCAAAAGAGAAAAAAATCTGCCAGGCTTCTGCTTTGAATGTAGAA